AATGCAGATTATTTAGTACTCTTTCAGGTGCTGGCAGTCTGCTTTAATATTGACGTATTTGGGGAATTAGTCTCCATGTGTAGTTCTTCAGGGAATGGGCCATATTTTATCCAGGAGCTATTAAAAAAAAAAAAAGGTACTGTCTATCCCTGCAGAGAAACACCATGTCACTTTCTACTAGATTCTGCTCTTTAGTGTGAAGAAGAGAATGCCTAGGCTCCCTTTAATTCTTCATAGACAGATTTACAAGTTGTTCTAGAGACCATCTTTAGTTTCCTAAAAAGTTTGCTTCTGAAATAGAACTTGGAATAACTGCTGTTCTCGAACATGGCTGAACAGAGGAATGAGTGTATTGTTCACAGGCATAGATGGGGAGATAGCACTAACATTTGAGTCATTAAAAAAAATTAATTACACATGAGTTTTTTATATAACTATGAGCATATTCAATACAACTTCAACAATTACAAAAATACAGACCAGACCCTGGAAAACCTAATTAGGAGAGAGTGTAAATATGCAAGAGCATGTGCTTGAGTCGTCTTTTTTCTGCGCTTAATTTTCATAGTACCTGAATGGAAAAACATGTAGCATCCGTAGGAGAAATTTTTGTCGTCGCCGTTCTAAGACTGCCTATCACTTCTTTTTAACATGTTTTACCCAGCTGACCTCTGACAGATAATCATCCTGCAATGTTAAGGGGCTGACTGATGTCAAAAAAGCTACATGCATTTCCCCCCTCTCCCCCTTAGATTTTTTTTTTTCTTCATGAATTTCCAACAATAGTTCTCACGAAACTATAGCCAGAAATATCTTTCAGGTTTGTAAGGATCCAATTTCCTAACAAAAACAGCAATCTGCATTTTATTGAATTTCATAGCCTGGTAAGCACCAGATCTTTGCCACTCTATTCAACGACACAAGAAACACTATCAGCCATCAGGAAGTTGGACATTTGTGAAAGCAATGCAATTGTTACGGTTATCTTTCAGCGTGGGAGTGGTGTGTATGGACATGGAAAAATAGTATTCTGGGGTATAGAAAAATTTTATTTTTTTAAATCTTAGCCTCATTGTAGGTTTTATGACATACAGGGCAGGTTTGAGGAGGTGAGAGCAAGGAATTACTCTAATTATAATCAATGTGTGAAGACAATTATGAGAATATGTTGAACAAGAAAGCAGTTGCTTCTCAGGATTATCTGCATTATTCTATGGACGTTCTCCCATATGCCAGTTTCACTTTAGCAAAAGCTCCTGTTCACAGTTTTTACCAAGACTTACTCATATCTTGCGAAGTGGACCTGTTAAACAGTTACTTCAGTGCAGCAGCAGAAGAGGGGTAAACCCAGCAAATAGACTTTCAGTTCTGTAAAACTTCCTCTGAGTATTACCGGTGTTTGGGGAGAATACTTTATACAGTATCTTTAATTGAAATTGCTTTCAGTAGAGACTTTTGGAGAGGACTTGACAAACTCGGAAACATTTTAGTATTTTAGAACTTTTAAACCACCAGGGGGGGGGGCGGGGGGAGGCATTTAGAGAGGATATTGTGGATTGTTGGTATTTTCTTTGTTATTGTTGCACTGAATGACTTCCTGTGTCCATCCTTTTGTCACATAATATTGGCCAGAGGTTTTGAAGTTTGAAGTGCCAAAAAAAAGGCAAACAATCCCATGAAAGGACATCTGCAAAAGCAAACACTGAATCTGAGAGAGGGAGGCGAGAGAATGCATCAGTATTACTTGCTGATGTTCAGGCAGTTGGTAGAATCTGCTTGTTCTTGCTTTGTCAATGATCTGGATTTCGGAACAAAACCAGACTGATGGCTGTGTGGTCTGTTAAGTACAGTCACTGCTGGCTATGCTGTGCTGAAGAAGGGGCGAGGAGGCTGTACTGTCTTGGCTATGTGCATCTTTCGGTTAGTGCTCATAGCTAAAACTATTCTCTGGGTCCTGTCAGTGAACAAATTACTGATGAACTGATTATAAGGGTAAAGGATGGTTAGCTGTGTGTGTTGGGCAGAGACCTATCGAGTGGATGATAAAAGGCATTTCTGGTGTCTATGACAGGAATTTTAAATTTGGGTAGCAAAGGCTGTAAAAGCTTTAGGGGTTTAATCTAAACACACAACTCTTTTTTTTTTCTTTTTTTAAATACATAATATCTTCATCACTACGTTATTAGGGGATATCCTTACATAAATGGAGAGAATGCACAGTCAGTAACAATAGAAACAGCTGGGTATAGCTATCTTCATAAGAATGAGCAACAATGCTGTGTCTATTGGAAAAACTCAACTTGTATTGCAACATCTCCTTTTTATATCACGTCTTTCCATTACTGAGTTGTCATGCATAAATTTCATTATATTGTGGATCTGTTTAGCATAGTTATTCTAATAAAGGTGATATCTGAATTGGACTCACTGTAAAAATGTGATGGATTTACTATACCAACAGTTTGCAGTAGGTGAAGGCCTCTTAGATAAATGTATGCATGTTTTGTTGACTTTCTGAGCATGGTAGTGTTAAGGCGGCTGCTACGGCCAGACAACGTAACAGCACTGAAAGCCAGGTGGAAGTTTTGTGAGTACCTTCTGAAGAAGTGACTGCTGAAAAGAAAGAGCAGAGATGCGTAGGATAGGGAGCATGGAGTTGAAATCTGTTGGAAGGAAGGCAAAGTCTGACTTAAATGATTCAACATCTGGCAGTATAGTGGCAACATTAATAAGTTGTAATATCTTTGCATTCGCCTGAGCTCATGAAGAAAAAAGAAGCTGGGTTATGATTATGCATTGAGAACAATCATGCAGATCACATCCCCCTGTTTGCTGAAAGGATGGTATGCTGCTTTTTTCCAGGTGAAAAAGATTTCAGGCAACCAAATATGAAAGTGTCATGAATCTTAACTGCTTATTTCAATCTCCTTTTATAGGCAGATGGACCCTTGCAAAAAAAATAGCTGTAAGTTGGCAGCAGAAAGCTTGACTGTGTGAAGCAGAAAGCTTGACTGTGTGGGTTTTTTGAATATGCGTAATTCTGTCTCCAAGCTCAGTCAGGAAAGCTAGGGGACAGATGCCAGCAACATTTTATCCTAGAAAGGGAAAAAAAAGAACCCAGAAAAGTGTGTGGGATGTTGTGGATTTTTTTCCTTGAACGGCATGATGTAGAAATGAGGACTATAGAACCCAGAAAGGGCTCACCTTCAAACTGAACAAAGCAATGCAGCCAGATGTTTACAAGCATTTCGAAAATGGCTGTTGCAGTCATTTTCATGCTTTGCAAATAACCAGAGGTCTGAAATGGCTACACTGAAGTGGATTTTTTCCAAGCATGACAAACCCAGGGAGAGTTTACAGGGGTGCTGTGAGGAAGCAGTGGGTGCTGGTGTACAAGAGCTGCTTGTGAGATAGCTTTGGGCTATAAAGGACAATAATTATAAAGGGAGAAATCTTTTGGGAAAGAAGAGTAGTAAAAGGCTTGGGGGTGACCTGAAGAAAAATGCAGTAGAAGTCAGTTGGCTGAGAGAGAATTGACATCATATATTTGTGATTAAAATAAAAGTATCATTCAGTTTGTGATTCAAAATTGAAATTTTCTTTAGTCAAGTAGTTAAAGTGAGATGATGCAGACACATAAGAGAACGGCATATATTTTCCATATAAAGTAGACTTTTATAGGTAGAAAGATGGGTTTAATTTTTAATGTAGCTTAAGCACTTTAAAGACTGAAAAGCTTTGGAGGCCGTTTGCTTGAAAACTGCTCAAGAACACTTTGAAGCATATAGATCAGCAGGTGTAGGTCTGGCTACCTAGGGCAGTAGAACCTGAGATACCAGAGGGCACCTGCAAAAAGGTAGGCAGAAGGTTGCTGGTCTTTTGTTACAAAAGATTAGGGCTGTTTTCTGAAAAGCATTAAGATACCTGCTAGGTACATATATGACCTTTTCAACAAGGAAATAAGCGAAGATGACCTCTTACATACTTGCTACTAATGATGGCAATTTTTTTTTTTGCTCAGAATCCTTCTGTTATCTCAAATTATAGACTGTTATCCTTACTGCTATTTTAACTTAAAAATACATACTTGGATGGCTAAAAATACTGCTGCTTCAAAGCAAGGAAGAGATGCATCAGTTTCCAGCATCTCTTAATTCAAACCTTTCCTGGTATTCCTAATGTACCCATAGAACTTTGCCTTCAGAGGGAGTTTGGTTTTAGTCAAGTGAGCAGATTTATGTGACGGTCAACCCTGGTGTGCTCCTAATGAGACTGCATGTCCCAGAAGGCTGACAAAACAGTGGGATGAGTGAATCCCGTCTGAAAGGGGGATACAGGATGTAAATTTGAGCCTCAAGGTTACAGTGCCAGCATAAATATAGCTACCAAGCAGCATAACAGATTCCTTTCACACAGTGACTGAAGTTCTGACAGGCATAAAGTCAGTGTTTTTCTTCATTCCCATTTATATATCTTGGATATTTTTAAAGGATGATGCTTCTGTGATTTATTTAATTTTCTTTGGAAGTTCAGTTGCATAAACCTGAGGACTTCATGCAGATGTGCAGTTGACACTAGAAACACCATATAATTGACTTTCAAGATAGAGGCCCCTGGAGTGAGGGGCAGTGACTTAAGTGAATGTAGGACATTCTGCTCACGCAAACAGCAAAGTCTGTGTGTTCTAAGCATTATGGATATAAAAATAGTTGCCCAAGAAAAGTTGACCTTCTGAGGAACTCGGCTCTTCTGAGGGCCTTTTAAAGCTGTCTCTGCCGTTGTGCTAATGGCAGTGACAGGCCTCTGAAAACCAGAAACTGCATGAATTACCCTGATGGGGGATCATGCTGCCACCTTAGGAATCTATTTAGTGGTCACTGATCTTTATATTTGCAAACAGAAAGAATCTTATTTTAAAGATACAGTAATAATTTAACTTGTGCTGGTCATTTGCTCAAAAACATGACTTTTCTTAAGGTACTTAACTCAAGCGACTTCAGATACACACAGAATGGGATTTTACACATGTTGGACAGAAATAAGAGAATCAAGCCACGACCAGAAAGATTCCAGAACTGCAAAGATGTTTTTGATTTGATCCTAACGTGTGAAGAAAGAGTCTATGATCAAGTAGTAGAAGGTAAGGACCTTGAACTGATAAACCAAGTTAACTGAGTGCTTTTTTCCCTCCCCCCCTGAAGTCCTTCACAAATCTGGAAATATCTCTGTCTCCTCTGACTGCTGCTGCTGGAACACCAGCAGGGACAAGAGCTCGCAGTCCATTGACATAGACTTTAGGTACCAGAGAAGTGATGGCCAAATACTTATTTCTAAGAGATAACTGGTGTTGGCAGCTACACAGAATGTGTATGTATAGCAATTTTAAGGGCTGACATAAGGAAATAGCAGGCATTTGGAGAAACTCAAATACATGTTTGGTTTGAAAATGCTCATGGATCTAGAAAACTAGCAAATTCTATGTGATGAGCATTTTTTCACCCTGGGTTGATGGAGAAACAAAGTCTAAGCTGTCTTCCTTATGCAACTTCCCTTCCTTTCTCTGCGGAAGACTCCTGTGACCTACCAAGCAGTTTATCCACAATAAATAGCCCTGCACAGGTGGAGAAACTTCTTGAGCATGGTTAACACTCTGCAAACATGCTATGGCTTTGCCCTTAAACGAATCAAAGTGAGATATGCCAGAAGAATCTCGGTTGGGGATTGGGTTCTGCATGAACACAATGCAGCAACCTTGATGGGAACTCACTGGAAGTCATGGGGTTTCAGCAATGACTGACTCAGCTCCTGGGCTGAGAACCCTGCCTCTCTCTGGAAATGCTGGGTACAGGCTTACGTGAGGTTTAAGGTGTTTCCTTTACATTGAAAGACCAGCCAACTGAACTAGTATCATACACATTATTTAAAAGGCTGTTGCCTTGCCTTTTCAGTCCTCAGTGGTCATGTCACAAGCAATACAGAGCACAATACATTTGGGCTTCTGCAAGCTGAGTAATTAGTGTTCTGGATCTTTAAGTGAAGTGTTTGCAGTGTATTGGTAAGTTCTGAGAGCAGCTGCCCTGGTACTTGAATGGATCTTCAGCGAGTTCAGCATGTCTCCCATAGAAAGCAGCTTTCACTCTAATGTTATAGGTGAGTACCCTGAGGAAGGGAGGTGAAGAGCAACCACTTGCTAATTTTCCAGTTGTGCATCTCTTTAACTTCATGGTAATGCCCTTCATAACTGACCAATGAAAGGAAGAAGGCTTGAGTGCCACCAAATGGCTCTAGACGTGACAGCTGAAATTTTAAAATGGAGGCCTCAACAGGTTTGCCAAAATGAAGTTGCAGAGTGGGATTAGGAGAGAACAACTTGTAGCTTAAAAACAGTGTGTGTAATAGGAAGGTTATGTTAGAGAGGCATAACAATAATACATGGGTGGATTAGTAGGAAGAGGATGTCTTATTTTTCCCCTTCACCGCTTGCTAATAAACGGAACACATTAGAGCTAGAACTTTCCAATGTGACTATCAGTGCTTAACTGGTAGGTGTTCACCTTGCGGTTTAACTTTCAGAGTGTTGGATATACAGTGCTTTTTTTTTTAAAATGGGCAATTAAAACTCTCCAGGTGAGGAAGCCCAAAATCATTCTTGACTTTTGAGAATCTTGATCTTGGTCTTTAAAGACAGGCAGAGTAAGGTGAGCAGTAACTTTTCTTGACCAGGGCAAATAAACTCTCATGACCCTTCCACAGAACGGAATTCTTTTGTTTCCAAAATCCATCTTTCATTTTTGAAATAAGAGGGACTATTGTTTAAGGCAATATTAAATCAACAATTTTCTAAAAACAAGTTTGGAAAACGCAGAGGTGGACGATGTCTGTGTATTTTAAAAAATTTTATGAATACTCTGTGTAAAATATGATACCATTCCACCCAAAGTTTTGCTGTTACGTGTGTTTTGTTTTCAACTAGATTTAAATTCCAGAGAGCAGGAGACATGTCAGCCAGTACATGTGATCAATGTGGACATTCAGGATAACCATGAGGAGGCAACCCTGGGTGCTTTCCTTATCTGTGAGCTCTGCCAGTGTGTAAGTAGAGAGGGCTCACTGCCTATGGGTACCTTGGACCCAGCTGACTGCAAAGGGGTTGGGGTTTGCTTGGTGCTCCTTAAAGGTGCTGCATATTGCAAAAGTTGTTTAAGTAAAATCTGTGTCAAGAGACTTAAGTTTCCAAATTCTTGTGGTTATTTTTGGAGCTGTTGTGCAAACAGATGAATTGTAACTGAGTTCGTGGTTTCCAAAGTGGACTCTGTGCGTGCATTCCAAACCAATGCGCTGATAGCTTGCGTGAAAAGCAGTATTGCAAAGCACTGTGCATAACCATTGCACATGGTGAGCCCATACTCAAAACACTGTTTATGGCAAAAACGTCCACTTCAAAAGCAGTTGTAATATGTGGGATTTAAACAGCAGAGTTGCATACTGGATCACCATATACTTGGAAAATATCCTATATAGGTGTGTTTCATAGTACCACCCTGTTGTGTGTATGATGTGGAAGAGAAAAACTGGTGCTTTCTGTCGTTCATATTCAGGGGCCCTAGCCCTTGAGGTAAGACTGAAATAAGCTGCACTCACAACAGTCGATGTAACTGTCAAGAGGACAGAGGAAGGATCTGTGTCCTTTTACAGTGTGCAAGTTGATGAGTTCACCTATTCCAGTGTGGCAACAGGCTTTTTTTTTACTCCAGCCTGTGTGACGTATTCTGGTCTTAAATCCTTTCCAGATTCAAAAAGCCTAAGAGGGTTCAAGGACTTGAAATTTTAGCCATCTGTTCAGTGTGCTTGTAGCTATTCTGAAGCTTCCATTTGTTACCTTGTGAGGATGGATGTTGCCTACTCAACAAAGTACTAGTTAAGTGCCAGTTCAGTGGGTTGGAGAAGGGAGGGTATGCAGATAAACACGATACGGAATATATATACGTTTGGGAATGCTGGGAATCTCAGTAAAGCACCCAGTGCTGCACTGTTTGGTACAACCTGCTGGTTTAGATTTCACAGTAAGCCAAAAGCATTGAATTATTACAGGTTTCTAAACTACATCATATCCTTGAAGTCCGGTTGCTTAGTATTTTTTCTCTTCTAGATACAGCACACAGAAGACATGGAAAATGAAATAGATGAGCTGTTACAGGAATTTGAAGAGAAAAGTGGAAGGACTTTTCTTCATACTGTCTGCTTTTATTAAAGCACATCTGTCTCTTAGGCCTTAATACAGATGAGGGAAGCATGTGTTTAAAGTTCTGCTTATACTGTATTTTCCTGGAAAACGAATATTGATTTTTTTGTTTGTTTGTTTGTTTAAAAACTCCTTTGTAGTGTCTTTTTGTTTTGTTTCAGGTATTCTGTCACAGGTAGGCAGAGATACTGGTTGGGGTTGTACATATGAGATGATTAAAGTATGCACAAAGGCCACCTATTTAAAAATGAAAATCAAGATTTTCTTTAAATCCTACTTTAATTATTGCAAGTAGGTTTTTAATTATAAAGAGAATGTTTCTTGAATATAAGTTTATAATGTATTTTTCCAGCTTACAAATTTATTTTATTTCAGTTGTGCTTTTTTTTATTTTAATGTGACAGAATGGCTGAACTACGTGAGGATATGAATGGAACAATAAAAAACGAGTATCTGTATATTATTAGATATAAAGTTGGAAGCATCCAATAAAAATGAAAAACCTGTAAGTTTGTCTGTTAAGTAAGTGTGATTGTGCTCCGTGAGGTAAAACGCAAGAGATCTGAAGTAGCACAAGAATGCTCATTCATCCAAAGTGGCTTGGAGAGGGTAGTGACAGCAAGATGATCTTGATGGGAATCAAAAGACCTGAACTGCGTCCCTTGTTCAGAGAGGCTGTGTGTTTGGGCAGCTTCGTAATGATTTTTGATCCTGTGCTGAACTAAAGTGAACTGCTTTCTCTGCATGAATTAGGGCACTGCCAGGAAATCTTCTGGGGTCTCAGTTGCTTTTGAATTACCGCCTGTGAGATTAATAAGACTGTGAGGCTGTAACTGCAGCAGTCAGGGCCAATTACATATGTGTCTTCTATAAGGAGGATGGGGAGAAATGGCAAACTCCACTGTCAATGGAAATAGTTTAAAGCTTTTTTTTTAACTGAAATATCTTTTGAATAGAAGCATTCTCCTCCCATATAGCAATAATAAACATGCTTGTCACAGCTCAAAATCCAGAAACTGAGTATGCGTATACAAACAGAGCAAAAGCTCAGACTTCTCTTTGTTCAAACTGATAAAAGTGAAAACAAACCAATTTATTAGACGTTCAAAATGTGAATGGTAAAGTGCTGCTGCTTACAGGCAAGAGAAGATCTTAAAAGTTGTTAAAAGAACCTGTAAATGATTTGGAGCAAATGAGGTCTGTGTGCTCCTTAATGCGTGGATATGTGAGGACAACTTTTTAAACATGTTAAAAGTGAAGTAGTATGAAATGGGGTTTGAGTTCCTGGCTTCTTTCTCTCATTCTATCACTGACCTCTGACAGCTTACACGAATCACCTAGTTTTCCTTAACTTCAATCATTTTGCACATGCAGCAAGTTAGTGCCAAGTACTTTGTCTCAATTTAGGGCAGTGTTTATCCATCTTCGCAGACAACTTTGGCTGTGTATGTAGTAAGTCATATGGCAATGCTACTTAACCTCTTTCAGTGAACACACTCGCATGTATTAAAAGGCATCTGCTCCACACCTCAAAACTGCAAGTCCATATCTGAAAATGCTTCTTTGCAGTTGCAAGTCTTGAAGTCTGTTGAGTCAGGCCCCTCTTTCTACTCCTGGGATCTGGGGGTTGGCTGTGGTTTCAACTGCCTTGTGGGAAAACTTAGACCTCTGCCAGCTCAATCTGTGTCCTGGATGATGTCCAAATGGGTCATTGCATCATACTCGGGTCTCAGGAATGTTTATTATCCCTGAATTACCTGTGCTGTTTTTCTTGTCTGTTAAAAATACTTAAAGCAAAAATTTTGTGGAGAATGAATGAATAGATCGGAACAATTAGGGGATGGGGACTTCAAGCAGCAGTTGTGATAGGGTTTGCAGAGTGTATCTTTTCTGATTGGCTTGTCCTGTCCCATTTTGTTTCTGGAGACTCTGTATTTGAAGGATTTCATTCAGCCTCCTCTGCTTCTGCTCATTTGTCTGTCTTCTACCATCGCTTGTTACCATGGGGATGTTTACAGCCAAAGGAAGAAGAGGATTCTGTAAGGACTGAACTGCTTTAGTTGATATCTTTAAAAAGACATTTCAAGCAAGCACGGTACTGAGTATTTTGAGCAGAGTTTTCCTTCCCTATACAGTATCAGTGAAACTTGGAGAGTGTTTGAAAACGTTTTCTACTTCCAACTTAATTCATCCTAAGCAGAGCTCTTTGTTGTTGTTTTACAGAAAGGCAGTAAAAACCCAAACAGAATGTTTTAACCCATGTTTTGTGTGTATGTGAAGATTTACAGAAGTGTCCTTTTTTACATAAAGATTATACGTCTTGTGTGCATAATTTGCAGAGAATTCTGGTTGCTGTAGTCCACAGTATGGATTCATTGGTAGAACTTCACTGCGGCTCTTCAATTGACGTGAGAAGCCTTGGTCTAAAAACATGATCTAGAATGCAGGATGTTACAGAATTGTTCTTTCCACCCTAAACGTTCTGTTCATAAGCAAAAGCAACATTGAGAGCTGGTCATTTGTTTATTTACCAGTGTGTGGAAGGATGTTTGACTGGATGGATGGATGGATGGATGACTGACCTGGGTGGACAGGCAAGTATTCTGAATGATCCACAGTCCAGTTCAAAGTATTCAAATTTCTGTGAGGACAACTTGTTCTTCAGCTAAAGCTGTTCTTCCTCGGACACATTACTTCTCATCTAACTTACAGGTTAGTGAAAAATGTATGCATTTATATAGTTACTTTGTCTCCGTATGCTTCGTTTGCATTGAAATCCATAATGAAGCTCAGTTTATACAGGAATTTTATGGGGTCCTAGTCTTGTTTGAGAGATACCTATATTTATACATACACACACAAATATATATGTAGGTATAAAATAAACTCTGGCTAAACACAAGGTCAAAGTTATTTTGTGTGTCAAAAAGAAAGTTCAAGAGAAACTTCGGTTTAAAGGAAATGGGAAAAATAATGTATTTTTCCTTTAAGAGTGGGGTGGCATATATATGACGATGGTGTGCTCTTCCCTGCCTTGTAGATACATGGATGCTCCTGTTGATGAGTATCAGTGCTGAAAGATGGTCCGTTTCTTTTTAAGCCCTCTAGTTGGCCGCCTTCTTGTTTAATGAGGGAAAGCAATGAAGGGTTAACACCTTGTGAACACAGACTGCGAGTATTCAGAATTTGGCTGTGATGGGAGATTTCTGCTGTAAATGAGAGTTTTCAGCTGTATCTAGGCTGTTCTCCCAGTTGCCATAAGGCCAGCAGAGGTGGCTTTAAAATGCAGCTTCCTCCCAGAGGTTCCCCCCCTTTCTAAATGCAGTGATTATGTTTTGTCAGCATTTCTCTCACTTTTTTGATTTTCTATGAAAGGACATATTGATTATAGTACCTATTGAAGTGCATTTATAAGATTTTGCTCTCTTGCTACCATGAAGTTGATGCTACTTCTGTGTGGGCAGATCTTTGCCAAGAACTTCTTGATGTTTCCATCTCTCGCATCTCAGCCCTCTGCAGATCCTACCCATAAGGCACAGAGCCGTAGAGCCATGTTCACTTCTAGTTTGCAGGCTGCTTTTCTTTCACACAAGTCACTTTTGATTTTGTGTCTGTTTTCTGTATTTCTTGTCTTGCTTAAGACCGTCATGATGTTCATGAACATTCTTCTTTCTGTCAGAGACATCAGCACGTTTTTCAAATAAGCTTATGTAAATAAAAACTGGCGATTAAAGAGCAATGCCTTTTCTCCCCTCTGCACTGCTGGTGTCTTAGCCCTGAAGTTCTCTGCTTGCTGGCTTCCTTCACTCGCCTATAAGGCTCAGTACACAAAGTAATGCAGATAATGCAATCAGACTGCATATGGTGGAAAAGAGCATTTTTCCCTAGGTTTCAATATTGCTGGATCTGACTGTGCAAAGATCAATGATTCTAGCTAGATTTCCCCAATGCAGCAGCCTAATGAATATGTTGCTAGGCAGATTATCCAGCTTCAACTTCTATTTCTCATACATGTAGGAGCTTAGGAGAAGGTATCAATAACGACAAACACAAATGCTTGTGCTCGCACAGGAACTGTGAAAAGAACAGGGGAATAAAAAACAGCCAGTGGAGTACAGGGAGGGCATAGGACAGCTGAGTCGGTTCTTATGGAAGAGAAAAAAATTAAAAAGGAAAAAGGAGAGAATTGTTAGCTCTAGTTGTTGTTAGACTCTTCTATAAATTCTGACTTGTGTGAGCACTGCGGAACACCGGCTGAGGTCTGTGCGCCCTTCAAGAGCAAAGCAGAGGGAGTCAGTTCCTGTGAATGTGGCTTGTGATAATATTCCTACCCAGGGCTGCATGCTCACAGCGCAAAAAAAATCCGAGGCGGTTCCCATACAGACGTCTCTGGTCTTTTCATCATCTTTAGCCACTATTGCTGGGGTATAAAAGATATTTAATAAGGAGGGAAGGATATGTTTGCTGTATGCCCTCAAGTGCTGAGGACTGAAGGAGGCTGGGTGACAGTACCGGGTCATGCGGCAGGGTTGGGTTAAAACAAAGGAAAAGGCAGTGGTCGCTTGATTAGGGATAGGCCAAATGCCGCTGGGATCTTGTAATGCAGACTGTGGACTTCTCTGCGTGAGGGTGGTGGTGACGGTACAACACGAGGCTTGAAGCTGAACAGGAGCCATAGGTCGTGTGGATGCTTGTTTTCAAAAAGGAGCAGCTTACTTCTAGCAATGTTAAAGTGATAAGGAACAAGTTTAACAAACCCATTGTAAACTCTTGTGGTGGCAACCCAAAACTGTCTAAGCATCTGTTAGCACCTACGTTAAAAACACAGTCTTCGCTCGTACAAGTATAATGTCACTTTGCTCAAATACCATCAGTCCCTGCTGCCTCTCTTCATTAGATGGAAGTCACTAGAGAACCTCTTCATGGCCTTATTTCCCCTAGACACGCAGATGAAAGGCCAGACTGGCTGAACACCGTGCATGGCCTCAGGTTGTTCTTGGGTCTCTAGCTAAGCAGGCTGCGAGCAGCCAAGAGTTCAGTGTGTGCTGGCACTGAATGGGATAGAAATGTTGCTGTTGGTTTGTTTCTGCGAGAACAGGCGGTCTCTTTGCTGGCCCAGGTTCGCCTCCCGTCTGATCCCTGCCATGGCGGCGCAGAACTCATCGTTTCCACCACGGGTTGCTGTGAAGAGCTGAACTTAGAGTCTGTACCAAGGCTGGGGAGCAAACCTAGATGTAGTGGGGTCAAGAGGATGGGACAAGACAAGCTTTGCAAGGTCCAGCAAAGTCTGGACGTGCTGAAAATGGGCCAGCAAGAACAATGAGGAAACCTGTTTGCCACGCTGCAGTAAAGCAAGTGTGAGATGTTCCTGGCTGCAGAATCGCAGATGTCACTTGGTACTCCTGCCAACTGAAGGAGGATGAAGTGAAGAGAGGAGAAGGAATTTCTAATATAATTCAGTGCCACAGAAGATCATTGACTCAAATGTTCTGTGTGGTGACTAGATTTAATAAAGACTGTGATAATTTAATGGCTGCTATCCACATTTGCAGCCCCGTGAGCCTGTCAGATTTAGTGAATCCTGTATTCTGGGCAGTGCCAGGGGGTGCAAGAAAGGATTCTTGCACTACCCTGTACGTTAGCACCATTTTGCCCAGGACTAGGCTGAAGTTTGTTTTACTGTCAGGCAGCTGCGCTGCCCTATAGCCGAGGGCGGGAGGTAAAGGGCACTAGGTGCCACCAGGACCGCAGTGTACACAGAACAAAATGATCGGCACAGTGATGTTTGGAATCCCCGTCAGCCAGGGCTTTTGCTCCAAATGGACAAGAAGGGAAGACGGCTCCTCCAGAGCTGTGCTGAGAAACCCGGCTTATGCCTGAACCAGTGACAAAATCTTTCCTCAGTGCCTCAAGCCCAGCTGAGGGCTGACCCAGCCTAGTTCATGGGGATGGCTGGGAGGTCAGAAACATTGGCTGATGGCCAGGCAAAACTTCAGTTACACAAAACTCCTTGAGACTTGTCTTCAAATTGTCTGTTCTCTCCTGTGATTTTATTTGGCTGTTACTTTAAAAATGCATATGTTTTCTACAACTAGCGGAGTAACTAGCTGCATTATCTCTGCATTACTTTTACGGAGGTCTGCATATAGGTGGTAGAAACCACCTCCTAGCTCAATAAGAAGTGAAAGCAGCTCAGGGCAGAGGGCTGTTGAGGAGGGAACCCTGATGGGTTGGGCAGGATTGCGGCGAGAGGCACCTTCCCAGCCCTGCTGCTCTTTTGCATGAAGTGCCTGGCTTATCAAATGTTTCATGGGTGTGGTTTAATGTTAAAAAAAATCTGCAATGCAATCTGTGCTCTAATTTGAGGACACCATTTAGTGATTTTAATTGTGTGACAGTATTTTGGTATTTTCAATACCCAGTAGTAGGTTAATGACTGTTCCTTGAAGAATGGAGTTTATATAACACAAGTCATTACATAAGGAGGCTGATTGTGGCCTGAGGAACAGAAGGAAAACAAATATGCAAGAATGCAAAACCCAGAACAAGCAAACTCTACTTCGATGGCCCCGAGAAGCCTAAAAAATAAATGATATTTGCGTTCCAGCAAGGTGAAACTAACCTTGAGGAAGGCCGAGGACTTGGAGGTAAAAACACTGCACGACACGACGTAACAACCGTCAAGCTATGTGCTACCACGCATTTCCCACGTGGTGGCTGTAATCTCTTCTGTTCATCCAGATTGCACGATTTACATAAAAAAGAACAACAAACAAGCAAGTAAGCAAAAAGTTATTGGCTGGTCACTTATTTTCTTTTATTTTTCCCAGAAGCTCCTAAACATGGCCTGAGTTGGACTGACCAAATAGCACGGTGAAATAAAACCGTGGGAGAACCTGGAGCACGACCTTTTGCTTGGAGCTTAGACCTCAGGTTTGATAGACGGGACGAAGTTGTAGGGGGTAATTTTATTTCTGTCACAGAAGCGAGAGGGTCTCCTGTGTCCGCATCACCCCAGCTTTTCTTGGGGGGCCAAGTCCAGGAGAGATGCTTGGCAGAGGTGGGAATTGCCCCCAGCTCTGTTGCCAGCATGCTCAAAGGAGGGCTGGGCACCCACAGCCCTCTTTGGGTGCCCCTTCGGGCATCTTCCCCGAGATAGGGGCGAGCGGGCGCTCCGGCCCGGGAGGACCCAGGCCGACCTGGGGCAAAGGGCTGGGAGATCCCCCCCGGAGGGGCCGTCGCTCTCCGAGCGGGAAGCAGCCGGCGGAGGGAGGCGCCCTGGGAAGCGCGGGGGCGCGGCGGAG